AACAAGTATCTGCAACGGCTCAGCCCCAAATACATGATTAGTAAGAGAGAGCTCATCTAGATGTCTTTCCTGTAATGCTTAAAAGTTATTTTCTGTGCTTCTGACACCCCATTAATGTTACAACTCTGCCTCCAAATGTCTACACTGCCAGACAAACTTTGTTTGCGTTACTCTGTTGCAGTCAAATGCTATGACAGATTTTTTATATTTAGCCAACAAAATACTCCAAAATGCATTAATAAGGACAATACCTCTGTGTCCTCAATGGTACAGTAGTTATTGCCCTTCCAGCTGCTGATATTGGTGAAAAAATAAACTGTAATATGTATATTTAAAATCTACAGTAGCACACAGATTGAAAAAAAACATGCACTTTTCTGTATCTAATAATAATAATGAAAATAATTAATAATAATACCACTACTACTACTACTACTACTACTACTACTACTACCACTACCACTGCTACTACTACTACCAATAATAATGACAATAATCATAATAATACAAATAATAATAATGACAATAATTATAATAATAGGTACTTAATACATCAGAAACTGGCATAGGGTTTATGAAGTTAAATATTTGCCTACGTTTCCTAGAAATTGTGTTTTCCATTAAACAAGATAACACACTATTCCTGAACAGGTTGAAAAGACAGACTGAGAGTATAGCTCAACAAACTACCCAGTGTCTGCCAAGGGCTGCTAATCTCCAGGGAGGTTGGATAATGTAATCAAAGTGTCATGAAAGCATAACACAGAGAGCAGCATGTTTGACAAATATCTCGTAAAACGCAAGGAAGTCAGAGGTTCCTTCAGGACCCTGTTTCCACTCCACATGTATGAGCCTAAAAATAGTTTCATTTTGTCTCTGCCACATAGTCGTTGAGTGCTCTCCAGTCCAGAATTACTCGTTCCAAGAAGGAGAAAAAAAAACCTTGTGGACTTGTTAATATGCTCAGGGATCAAGTACTATTAAAATGTAAGTTTTATTACGCCTGAGTTTTCTGCCCTTTGTCTTCTGCTGCAAGATGGAGAGCAAGTCAGATTGTGAAGAGACTTTTATGAATATCCACTTCACATTGTCATCTCGCTAAAGTTTTATAGTTTTCTCTGTGTCAGTTGCCGGGTTAGAAATGATTATAATGATCATCGGCTGTTTCCAGGTGGAGACCATTGGTGATGCGTACTGTGTAGCTGGTGGCTTACACAAAGAGAGCGAGACTCACAGCGTCCAAATTGCACTAATGGCCTTAAGGATGATGGGGCTCTCAGACGAAGTGATGACGCCAACTGGAGAAAAAATACAGGTGAGGGTCAAGTATTGATTGGTGTCATACTCATTAATCAACTTGATGATGTAACTTTAAACTATGCAAATGAGAACTCATACAAACACTCTATTGAAGCTTTAATTAATTAATTTCATTTTTTTTTTTAAATCTTATATTTTGAAAAGAAGAGAAACCCCTTCTATAACAAAAAGCTGCTGACATTAAAATGACGATTTTAATGTCTTATATTTGCCATAATAAAGCAGTGAGTAAATTAAGAAAGCAACTACCTACCTACATGATTTAGGGTGTGACTGTTATATTATAACTACAAAACATTTATTAGATGGGAAGTATTAAGATATGTTGACTATATAAAAGTAAAAAGTAAAAATCGCAAATTCTATTTCATCTAAATATCCAGCCGTACTAAGTATGGTGTCTTGGATTGAGTTGGTTGATTCAAATATTTCAAAGTCAAATAGATGATACGTGGCATTTTTCTGTCCAAAAACAGTCACATATTAAGATGTTTCTCCTCTTCATGTCATTACGCCCCTAATTCACAGAAGTATTACACACTACAGTTGCTCCCGTAAATTGGTCAGTAGGGCCTTACAAATATTGCAATTTAATCTATTTCCTAATTAAACATTTGCAAAGCTTTTTTGTAAATGTGTGTGCATTGCTTGGAGTAGCTTATTGTTTGCCTTTGTTCACACATTGCTTAGCTTCTTTGCACCTGACAGCCATCTAATTGAAGATGATATAAGCTAAAGGCTATCCCACAAATAATACCACGACATACATAGTGCTGCTAGTCTTCCAAAAAAAGGAGTATGTTAGGGACCATTTTCAGCCTCAGAATTTGGCACTAGCAAGACAGCAGCAGGATGATGTGTATGTGGGATTGCTTGAAGAATCCATATTTTAACTTTTCAGACTATACTGTACCTGAAGAAATATAGGATCTGTATTCATTTTATGACCAAAACTACGAGTATGTATGGTTAAAAAGTGGAGCAACTTTGATGAACAAAAGCCTGAATCGTGTTGAATGTTGTATTTTCCTTCAGATGCGCATTGGTGTGCACACTGGTTCAGTACTGGCTGGGGTCGTTGGAGTGAGGATGCCACGCTACTGTCTTTTCGGGAACAATGTCACACTGGCTAACAAGTTTGAATCCGGTAGCCTGCCTAGCAAAATCAACATCAGCCCTACAACCCACAGGTGAGGTAACACAGGTTGCAAATCACTCTTGCATTTACCATTAGAATTACAATGCTTACTTATAACTCCCCTCTTAGATTAAATTTGACTGGAAGTATTGTAAATTAAAGTACTGTTTGAAGTGGTTAGTTACCAGAACCGTTTTCTTCAGAGGGAAAAAAACATAGTGCTCTGAACAGGAAACTACATTTTAAAAGAGCACTGTGTTTCCTCTTTTGTCAAATAATTTGCCATATTGTCTTTAGATTCATGTTTTATTTGTGTTCTCTTTGTCTCAGATTGCTGAAGCACCGGCCAGAGTTTGTCTTTGTTCCCAGGAGCAGACAGGAGCTTCCTGCCGACTTCCCAGAAGACATCCCTGGTGTTTGTTACTTTCTGGAGCCGTCCTTCAAAACTTCATAACTGACTATGAAATAAAGTCAAGATGCTGCAGAGCCCAAAAATGTTAGATTTGACTAAATATAAATGTATCCAGTGAACACAGTGCGAACAACTTGTATGTTTTGTTTAGGTTTGTTTAGATATTGATGATGTTGTCTATCTGTCAAACTCTTGCAGCTGTTAATAACTGACATGTCAGTTTGCTGTCAAACATGAGTCTTGTCTCTGTAAAATGATCCATATGTAGAGTGTAGCGCAGAGAAAAACTCACTTCCTTCATTTTTCTTCCAGAAGGAGTAATGTCTGCAAATTTGACTTATAAACGTGGCTTTCTTTGACTGTTCTTCATTTCAGAATTTTGGCGTACAATTGTTTAAGTCAGTAGCTGCTTCTGGACTGCTGTATAGAACTAAACATATCGTCTTGCATAATATGATGTTACATTTTGGATGTTTATTCTCAATGTGATGTTACTAAACATGTTTTTAACGAGATGGTTTTCTGTAAATATCGGACCTACTACATTCAGATTTGTCCATTAGGCACCTGCGAAAAGTACATTGGCCTTTTGGTATGGCAGAAAATGTAATTGGTGTTGTGAGTTTAATGGGAGAATTTATTAACAAATAATTTGGAAAAAATTACGAAATTATAATGTTAGGGACCCCCTTGACTTTTTAAACTTAGATTCAGAGCAGATTCAGGTGCCTTATGGGAAATATACAGGCAGGATATTATATTTTTCATTTTATTTAAGCTGTTTTTCTTTATTTAGATATGGCTAAATATTTTTTCCAGAGGTTTATTATTTAAACTCAGATTATATTTGTTATAACATGTAACATAGACTTCCATTTATTACACACAAAGCATTCTAAGATTGTGTTTCCTGATATAATTAATGTAACATGTATTTTTTACTTTTTCCTCACTGCACACATGTTTATACTATATTTATTACGTTGGGTTCACAGTAGTCCTTTCCTTAACAGCGGGAATACAAGACAACACAAATACAATGAATGTTCTACTGTATCCCTCATAATGATGTGCTTTAATCATTCATGTAATGTAATGTTATCAAAGCGCAATAAATATTGACATTCAAATACGTGACTCTACAGTGTGTAAAACATAGAATTCTTAGAAATGTGCGATGCTTAATGAGCATTACGATATGATATACAATGGTGTGAAGTAGCAAATTACATTTTCTAAAGTAATGAAGGCCTTTCTATATCTGTAATTACACGTTTCAGGTGGAACATTACTGTACTAATGAACTTCTATTTTACATTATACTTCTGCTTCACATACCCTGCAATGAAATGTAACATATTGTACAATAAATCCACTACAAATCATGATATTACAGCTGTAGTTACTTGTTAATTTGGAGATTAAGATGTAATAAAAAACAGCTCAATATATTGACAATGTATTGTAGTGACAGAACAATCCATAAAGCACATAAAGTTGTTAGATATAGCTTCCTTTTGACATTTTACAACATTGAATTGTTCTTTAGATGTTCAATCATCAACAATGGTGAATTAATAATGAAGTTTTCTAATATATATTAATGTTCCCCTCTGAAAGGAGTCATTTTAAAATGACATGTGTAAATACAGTATGTGTGGAATTTACTTTTGTTACTTCAGCTGTAATACATCTTTTTGCAACTGTAGTATTATTATTATCACTTAGAAGTACATTTTAGTGATGACCATATATATATGTTTGCATTTTTCACTACATTTTCAATAAAGGACTCTTTTATTGTAGAAAAACAAAAGGAGCAGCATTTGTTATATAAAGTAAAGTACTTTTTTCAAATGTTGATTTCATACATGTTTTTAAAGATATCTATCTATGTTTTGTTTTTGCTACAGTTGGCAGATATGATTAGTTGTACAGTTCATAGTGTAACACATGATGTTCAATATCAGAAACGATGTAGCTGCCTGCGGTGAATTCAGGTTCACTAGCATCAGTTGGACAACGCAGCTGCATTCTCATTGGTCAGGGGGTTTACGTAATCCCGGCTCTGATCTGCTATTGGAAAGATTCGCTGTCTGTTACCAGCTGAGGGAAAAAAGGGGGAATGGGCGCAGAGACACTCAGCATCTGTACCAAACGATGAATGTTGAGTCACATTCAACGGATTTTGCTTAAAAATAAGGGAGAAGAACAGCTACTGTCATCATGGTATGTTTACTAGGATTTTGTATTATGTATTATTGCTGGTAATATAATGTGTTCGTCGCTCGACGTGGTGTATTTGCGTTAGACATTTCCTGATAGAGACCGTAGCAGTCATAGCCTACAATAATTGTCTTGATATACTGAACTGTATTAGGATTATAATTGAACAGAATATGCATGCACATGTATTTTTGTTCAAGTATAGATTTAGGATGTAATATATTGTGTAAACACATGCATATATATTTCTAGTAAAGTTACCATTAAATAATATCCACGCTGCTCGTAGATTTTCCATAATTGATTGTATTTATACATTTACAGTATGGTTTTGTGAATCACGCCTTGGAGCTCCTCGTTTTGAGGAATTACGGCCCGGAAGTATGGGAAGACATCAAGTGAGTCTCTGGAGTGTGTGTTTACTATTCGACCCTGTTGGTATCATAGGTTACACTGTGGCCAAGCAGACCAACAGGGACACACAGGGCTACTGTACAGCACTCTGACTCACTGTAATGATTAACATCCATCCTGCAGGCTCACAGACACTCAGATAAAGTTAGCAAACATCACATTTATATTCTGACCCATAAAAACTCAAATTTTAGTCAGGAGCTTCAAAAAAAAAGAAAAAAAGTATAGAAATGTAATTATGACCACAACCGAAATGTTTGATAGTGAATAAAAGTGTTACCAAAAAAATGCCTGGATTCTTATTTATGTAAAAACATATGCAAAAATACGGACAAGTAGGCTATTCAATTGAAAGTACACACAATGCCTGCCATTATTCCTTGTGGGTGCTATATTATATTACAAGATATCATTTAAAAATATATTGATTTTTTTATACAATTTTATATGTGTAGCTGGTTGATGTTAAAACTCATCTTTTGGGCTTTATTTACTTATTTTTGCGTCGGTACACTGAAAAACAATGTATCATATTTAAAAAATGTGTGAAAAAAACCGCTAAATTGTAACTCAATCTGTCAAATAAATGCAGTGGAGTACCGTTTGAAGTACAAAGCAAAATAGAAGCACTCCAGTAAAGTACAAGTACCTCGTAGCAGGACCGTAGACAGGGTTTTATAAATATTGAGGTCATCAGAAACCTGCCATTCCCCAAAAAAAGGTAACCAGGGACCTCAAATAAAGTTCTCACAGTTTGTTTAAATGTATAGTATTTCTTTATACATTTGAAAAGTTTTGATAAAATAACTTTTATTCCCCAAAATGACCCTCCAAAAAGATTAACTTTTAAACTTTGAATAAAAACTTCACAGGTTTTGAAGAGCTTTATCAACATGTTTAATAGGTTAAATCTTAAGTATATATGAACATTTTAAAACCACTATATTAGGAGACACAGGACAGGGATTGCCAGGAATACGATTCTAGTGGGAAAAAGATGGATCCTATATTTATTTATTTGTCAGACAAGTATATAAACAATATCCCCAGATGCAGAATGTGAACTCCATCCAAGTTGCAAAAAATCCAAATTCCCAGAAGAAATACAGAGGGTATGACCTCTGTTCCTACTTCAAAGGCTTCAGTTCAATATTTTACTGAATCTAACAATATACTGAACTTTCCAACATTCATAGGCTATTAACTGCGTTCTGCAAACCTTTTGTATAATATAGGAAGCATATGGTACACCCCATTACAACATTTAGACGTACCGTAGGATGAATGTCTTCCACTATAGTAACATGTCATTTTTCTGCTTGTTGAAATGTTTGGTTATAAGTGCCCCAGATGTGACCCTGCCTTAAAAAAAAGAAGAATTAGAAAAAACATTACAAAAAACAGCAGCAGCTGTCCTGTGTAAATGTTTTTAAAGTGGTCCTTCTTTAGCCATCCAAAAAACACTTGATCTGAGCTGCATCTTGTGTTATCTTTGCAAATGGTACTCATAGTTTTTTTACGCACAATTTATCATTGTTGGTCTGTTTTCAGACCTTTGATGAGCTGGATCATTTAAAAATAAAATCTTATTTTCTTTTGAAAAGCTTTCAAGGCTTGGTATGTGTGTTCAGCTGTTACACATCCTGATAACATGGTGGCGGTTGCTCAGGCCTGTAAATCACTTTTGTTTTCTCAGTTAAACAGTACTAATCAGAACATGATTAAGTGTTCGGACAATATTGTAGAAAGTGGGTTGTAAGATGTATAAATAGCAGATGCTCTCTGCGCTCTGATCAGCGTTATATCAAAACCTGAAAATCTGCACTTGTTTAAAAGTGTAGCTTTAGGACCACACAAACACTTCAAAGCTATATGGAAACTTTTTTTATTACTGTAATACAAATCAAGAATACTCCTACTGTCGGCCACACACAGGACTAATACGTCCCGTAAAAATACTGTAACAATTAAACCTCTTTTGAAAAGGCAAATGCATGAGTTCAAGGTTTGTTTATGCTTAGATATTTGCTAATGACTGAATGCTTCATTTTGTTTTCAGGAGGGAGGCTCAGCTTGATATCGAGGGTCAGTTCCTCGTTAGAATCATTTACGAAGACGGCAAAACATACGATCTTGTTGCTGCTGCAAGTAAAGTTCTCAGTAAGTGACAGCACGGTTGTTTAGTATACTATATATGTGGGGTATTATAACACAATCAAAAATGTGTATTGTTTTCCGGGATACTGATGAGATCCTTTATGTATTTCAGAGATCGATGCAGGAGACATCTTGCAGATGTTTGGAAAGATGTTTTTCGAATTTTGCCAAGAGTCAGGATACGACACCATCCTGCGAGTGTTGGGATCCAATGTTCGTGAATTCCTGCAGGTAAGCTGTCTCTTTGCATGTAGAAAAAGTGGATACTACTAACTTAATGGTTTGTAAATATGCAATCTTAAAAGGGCACTTCACTGATTTTAGACATGTTTACATACAGTATCTCTAAGAGTGCTGCTCAGCCAATGGAGAAAATAACCCTTGACGATGTCCTTGGGGTCATCTAAGTTTAGCTGTGAGACTTTGACTTTCAAAATTAAAGATGCTGTTGTGGTGCATTGTGGGAATTTAAGGCTCTAGCTTTTCCACCATTACTCAGGACGAAAGTCACGATGTCTCAACCTCTCCCGCTTCATTTTGAACATTCATTTTCAAGTCCTATATTTCTTTAATATTTCATGTTTAATGTACCGCCTCATCATCTAACTTATTATATCCCAGCCAGGCTTTAATTAACTTTGATTGAATGTTGCATAATTCATCTATATTTTCAGAATTTGGACGCTCTACATGACCACCTGGGTACCATTTATCCTGGTATGAGGGCTCCCTCGTTCCGCTGCACCGACGCAGAGAAGGGGAACAATCTGATTCTTCACTACTACTCCGAGAGAGAAGGCCTGCAAGACATTGTGATTGGCATCATTAAAACTGTCGCTCAACAGATCCATGGGACAGAGATAGAGATGAAGGTGTGCATGGCTGTTTTTATTCTCTTTTGTTTGTGCAGCACTAATGAATCACTTTACTAATGACTGAGGACGGCTTGATGTGTTTCCTTTTTCCTCTGTTCATTTATGGTTCAACATTTATTGAAGCCTTTTAGTCCCTGTAATGCATTATGTGTCTCAGGGTGTAATTGAAGAGGTTATAATGTGAGGATTAAATAACAGAAACTTCCAAAACACCCAAACAGGAACGCTGCTGCGCTGTGGCAACTGCGCAGAGAGGTTTTGGCTAATGTCTGTGAGTCAGAGGATATTTTTAGATCTAAGTTATAGAGTCTTTCAGGGTGTTTGTTTCTTTCTCAGTTTTATTTGTACACTGTCAAACTGTGGATGAGTTTATATTGTCTATTTACTCCACGTTTATTAGACAGTTCATCCTGGGCAGAGGTACATATTTCTGATCTCAGCTCATTTTCTCGACCATGTTAATCAGATTTTGTGAAACTCAATATCGTAAACTGTCATTGGTATTTTAATTAATTTTTTTATGTGGAGGTCACAAATAACAGCCTGTAATCTGTACCAATAACTGCAGCATGTTATCATCCTTAAACACCCTCTGAACTTTGACTGGAGATTTCTCCTTGTTTCATAAGTGAGTGACATTTTATCCCAAACCTAATCATATGGTTCAGGCAGGATCATATTTTTCAGCAATTGTGTGTGTAATGAAAGAACACAAAATGGCAGACGCTCCAAATGTGACACCCAATTTCTGGAAATATTAGCCACTGTTGCTGTGGCAACAGGGTGCAGAGAGAGCAGCTTGACGTCATCAGGCCTTATGCCCATAAACCCACTGAATAATGTCACTTTACAATGTCTTCATTCTATAATCACAGACTTAGGTCATGACATCATGAATGGTATAGTATAAGTGGCACTTATATTGCAGTGGTGAAATATTGAATTGAAAACATTTAATGTTTGTGACCATATGCAACAATATAGGCATGTTTAATTTTTAGGCAATTTTAACTTGAATATGCCAGTTTTTGCAACAATAACATCCATATTCAATCTATATTTTAACTACATCTTATGCAGATGATCCAACCGAAAAGTGCAGAGTGTGACCACATCAAGTTTCTGATCGAGGAGAAGGACTCGGAGGAGGAGGCTTTATACGAGGACCTGGACGGCTTTGAGGAGAACGGCACACAGGAAACGCGGATTAGCCCGTACACGTTCTGCAAATCCTTCCCGTTCCACCTGATGTTTGACAGAGACCTGATGCTCACACAGTGTGGGAACGCCATCTATCGAGTCCTGCCTCAGGTGTGGATTCACATCCAATAAAGTCTGTTTCACTCGCAGCAAACACTGTGTCCTCAAGTCAGCACCTGATTATGTTTTATATTAACATGAATTACTCTCTGTCTTAGGTCAGGATTCCCAGCCTGAAGCATTCATTTATTTTATGGATGAAGCAATAACTTCTAATCTCATGTAACTAATTATGCATATTTCATTTTATTCCCCAGCTCCAGCCCGGCACCTGTATCCTCCCTTCAGTTTTTTCTTTGGTCCGTCCTCACATTGACTTCAGCTTCCATGGCATCCTTTCCCACATCAACACCGTCTTCGTTCTGCGAAGCAAGGTGCATATACCACATCATTACGTTCTTTGTCACAGTGTTCTTTCGATCAATCACATCAATACATCTTATTATATTAGTTTACATTTGACTGAGAAACAAGCATTAAATCACATCCAAATAAAAATCTAATTACAGTCCAAACTGGGTAAATGACAGAAGGTGTTTATATTACACGACATAAAAATAAAACTGTGCAGCAACCAACAAATAACTCGTCTTTTACTCATTACTCAAGCCTGCAAGGTAGATATATTTTTGGTAACGTTGAGAAATGTGAAGCCAAATGTTTTGAGTAGCACAGAAAACGTGTAAGAAATCCTAATTGAAATAAGACAGTTGAAATGTTGGTATTTCTTTCATTGTGAAAGGACTGCCACTCCTTTAGCTATGATAAGGAGAATTGATAAGATCTGAACTAATTATGTCCAATGGAGGGAGATGCATGTGACACTTCGGGCAAAAAGCCCCATACAGATTTAGAAATAAAGAGTGAGCTGAACTGGTGCCCGGTTTTGAAGCAGATTTAGAGGAGAACACATAATGCAATATTCATAAGTGTGATGTAATCCTGACAGGAGGGCCTGCTGAATGTAGAGACTGTGGAGAACGAGGACGAGCTGACGGGGGTGGAGATCAGCTGTCTGAGATTGAAAGGACAGATGATTTACTTGCCAGAGGCGGAGAACATCCTTTTTCTTTGCTCACCCAGGTAAATCCATTCTGCCCTGAAAGGAGCACAGACTACACACACCACTGAATGGGAACACTACCATTTTCGCAGAGATGACTGTCCTGGTATTTAATATTTCAATGCCATAAATGTATTTTAAAGAATACCATTACTGTTATACACACTATATAATATCGAACTATATAAACCAGAATTGTAAGTATTTTAGAAATGAGCTCAAGGGCTTAACATTATTTGTTCCTTTTTTTAGTACTTTTAATTCTCTTTTACTTTTTTCATAGTGTTCAGTAGGCCTTTTGGCAGAAGATTAAAATATAGAGAAGTGGGTCACAAAGAAATGATAATATGGGAATAAAAAATAGGGGTAAATAGTACATTTGTGAAGGTATATTTTGAGATACCGATTGATATGTGAGAAGAAGTATTTTGGGCAGCAGAGCATGTTAATGATGTTTGTGTTTTCAAAATGGTATTTCATGGTATTTTATTGAGCTTCATTTTACTTCCAAGCTTTCATAAACCAGCCATGTTTAGGTGCATGGTCAGAAAAAATATATATCTGTGTGCTGGTTATTAAATGGGTTCCTCTGTTGTGACCTCCATTAGCCTCTGTGGCGCCTGTATAACCAATCAGACATTTCCAGTTATATATTGGACGCAGGAGAGCAGGGTTCAATATATCTTGCCCTCACAGATCGAAGATACTTTGCAGAGAAGGTTGCTCCTACTGTAGGTTAGGACGAAAAGAGGCCGAAACGTAAGAGCGTTCCTCCTTACCTGACTAGATAAGACTCATACAACACTGACCTTACCATTAACAACAGGGACATGTATCAGGAGGCAGGAGGCTCGGCCCTGAAAGAAGGACAGTTTGAGGCTCATCGTCTGTTTAATTTACCCTGATTGAGTAGGTGAACAAGACTCAGAAAAAGGTCTGCAGTTTTCTTTCTGCCCACAGATAGAAATAAGACCTTTTATTTCACCTTTTATTACTAGTGTCATGAACCTGGATGATCTGACCCGAAGGGGGCTTTACCTGAGCGACATCCCGCTGCATGACGCCACGCGTGACCTGGTGCTGCTAGGTGAGCAGTTTCGCGAGGAGTACAAGCTGACCCAGGAGCTGGAGATATTGACAGATCGTCTGCAGCACACCCTCCGGGCCCTGGAGGACGAGAAGAAAAAGACAGACAGGTCAGACTATCATTCTCAGGTGTAAACTACAGCTTTAGGTTTTGGTTAATGAGTTGCCAACTTTAGATTTCTCTCTTTAGAATAACAATAGAGGAACTTTTACACAGTTGTTTTATGTAAATAGTTTCCGTAATGATTTTCATCATATTTCAAGGTATACTGTTATACCTTATAAACTGGCATTTCCCTTGTCAGATGGACTTGATCAAGCAAATCATATTTTCTATCTTCTGAAATAGTTTAATTGAAATCCTTTTAGAAGACCAAAGATGTAACAACTGCCCAGAATGTACCACGGAAAAAGTAAAGATAAGACAAATGTCATCAATATTTAATTCATCACTAATTTGTTCATTATGTGGATATCCCTTAAACTTATTTTCATAGCAAAGCAATGTCATTATATTTCAGTTATGAGTCAGCCTCAAAACACACTGGAACAATAGTGCCGTCATTCTTCACTTATCTTACTTTGTTGGAAAAGTAAGTGGCAAACATTGTTTATGATTCGTTTTTAGAGAGATAGAATAGTAGCCTCTGAACTATTCCCTTTTAAGGAAGATTTTGAGACAAGAAACACAGAAGATACAGCAGGACACTAACAGATGTCACTCCCGTACAGCTATGTTGAGTTTACATGACAGTAGGATGACAGGGGTCAAAATCTATTGTTATACAGAAGTGGATATTTGCCTAAGCTACTTTGCAGGTCCTGTTATGGTGAAGAGAGTTGGTTTGGACTCTGGGTTTCAGACACAGGGCCTGTCATAGTCATTTGTGGGTGACAGCATTGCTCTTTCATCCCTATATTATTATTCTCGCCATTCTCCTGTCTCAAAATGCCTTGGGCCTCCAACATTGATTTAAATTCATGGCTCCTCTCTAAATATTAAAGAGAACAGCTGCTGCATTGGCTTTGCCTTTTATAAGCTTTAAAACACTGTTTTCCGATAATGAAAACATACATTTATGCTTTATTTGCTTCTGTTCAGGCATGTACTTTAAGAAAAAAAAGTATGCCCTTGTATGTTACATGTAAGAGTGAAATAAGATGTTAAAGATGAATATGTATAGCTTGGTATATAATATACTCCTATTTCCATTTATACATTTGTGTGTGCTGACCGTTATTTGTTCTGCATGTGTCATGTGTCCACATATCATGATGCATCATGGAAGGTATTTTGCTTTTAACAGGCAGCCATGATCTAAGCAGTTACCATAGAAACACCACCCTTCCATCTGAGAGCAGCTTGTATAGCGAAATAGCCAAAAGGTGGTGGGTGAGCAAATAAAATGCTGATCCAAAGGATGAACTCGGTCTGGCAGTCCAAGCTTATTCTGCCGCTCTCGTACACCACATCTGCAATTTTGCTCAAAAGAATGATTTCCCTTCTTCCCTTTTAGATTGCTCTATTCTGTCCTTCCACCGTCTGTTGCCAACGAGCTGCGACACAAGCGGCCTGTCCCGGCAAAACGCTACGACAACCTGACCATCCTCTTCAGCGGCATTGTGGGATTCAATGCCTTCTGCAGCAAGCATGCCTCGGCCGAGGGAGCCATCAAGATAGTCAACCTGCTCAACGATGTTTACACACGTTTTGACATCTTGACAGACTCTCGGAACAACCCTTATGTATACAAGGTCGGAAGCAAGAATTTTACCATGACAGTATATCATGCATTTGTGTACATTTCTCTCAGTAAAGGCATACGAAGAGAAGGATCTATGCAGCAGAGAGATAATAATCAAAGTGTACAAAAAGTCTAAAATGAAAAATGTGTGGGCTTTTAACTGTTCTGTGCTGCTTCTTCAACTTAAACGCACCGGTGAAGCACATCGACCACTTGTTGAATAATGTTAGGCAATTACGCACAAGAACACAGTAAGAGTATTTATATCAGTTGACATGGGTTTTTCACCATAGGAAGAGTAGCACTAACTTCTAAACAAAGTATAGTTTTACAGAGACACTGCACCGTTTTATAGGCCTCATGCAGCAGATTTACACTCTAGGCTTTCAGACAAGAATGCACTTTAAGAAGTCAAACAGACCTCGGCACTTCCAGGGAATCGGCTTCAGGCACTGGGTCACCAAAAGAAGTAATATTTACTCTACAAGCAGAAAGGCTAGGTGGTCCTCTGGTTTTAGCGGGGCTTAAAGAGGCCCTGCATGTCTTAAAGCTGATGTAAGTGTTTAAGTGTTTATTTCAGGGTGTTTCAGTTTATTTCTAGCTGTGCTGTGCATTAAAAAAAGAAAACAATCTTTGTAGCACAGTGGGAAAATATGACTTGTCATGAACCAAAGCATAATTGGTTATGATCAAATTAACATAAGGAATGACCAGATGTTTGTCTTTATACAGGTGGAAACAGTGGGCGATAAATACATGACAGTGAGCGGCCTGCCAGAGCCGTGCATACACCACGCCAAGTCCATCTGCCACCTCGCGCTTGATATGTTGGAGATCGCTGGACAAGTCAAAGTGGACGATCAACCAGTTCAGGTGAGATATGATTCTAATGTTTCAGACAGGTTTATGGCTAAATACTTATTGATTTTTGTATAAATAACTGTAAATGTCAATAACTACACATTGTTATGTGTATGTATTGTATGCATGCTAAGCTACACTGAGCGCATACCAAATCATTTTTATATGGAGTAAACAACTATATTATTCTTTATAAACTGTGATAATTTTGCTGCAATATTCTCACAATGATATTTGTTGATGGTTTGTGTGTGCAAATGGTTGCCAACTAACAATATTTCTAATTGTATTGTATTTATTGTCACAATTCTCAATCTTTCTCTTCACACATTTAATGATTTAACCATTTGTTCTTAGCAAAGCATCTGTTGTTTTGGCACAAATACCTTGGGCATCTTTCGAGATTGTTTTACAAATACTGAGTATCAGACCTGACAAACTGCTCACTGGAATTCAAGCGAATTCGAGCAAATCAATTTTCCCTCAAGAATATTTAATTTTTTTTAACAAAAACGTATATCTGCATGTTTTGACGCTGAAATAATGCTCCTTGAAAAGTTGGATAAAAAACAGCAGACTTTTGTTTAACTGACTGCTGGAGATTGTTATTGTATCAATGACTGTTGAGACTTAGCTTTGGAAAATCATGTCTGGTTAACAAAAGGCTGTTTATTTCGGGACATGGCACTGGCAGCAGAGGAGTGCGGTTTAGCAGCAGAAACAGACTCAAATCATCTCACGATCCTGTGTCTAAAAATACTTTCTCATTTGTCTCAGACGCTCAGCGTGTTCATGCTCTGAAGACAACAGGAACTGAAGTGCAGACAAGTTCAAGTGTAAATATTAGGCTGTGAATTGCCTGGGGCTACTTTTGAAATTGCTTGTTTATTGCAAACCTTAAAGAAAAAGATATATCTAATTTTGTGCATGGAAGGATTTCTGGCAAAGTTACCTTTATATCCACCCACCAAATATTGCACCTTTTCAGATGATAGCTTTAATAATTTGTTCCAACAAACTAAGAGAAGCATTAGGCTGAATATTTGCACAGCTTATTTAGCTCCTTTATCCAACATTTCGTTTTTTTATTGTTATGAAATATGTTACACACATAATACACAAATTCTGCATTTTTGTTAATAAATCAGGTGTGTCATGTGCTGCCTTACGTAATGCCCGCAGATAACTTATGATCAAAGCTCTTATCATATTATAAACATTTAAGCTTGGTTTTGACAGTGTTTGACAGGAAATAATGATATCTTTGTCATAATGATTTACTTTGATTAAATTATAACTGACATTGTTATTGGACAGAATGAAGAGTCTCCTTTATCATGTTCTTTTCTGTCCAGATTACTATTGGGATCCACACAGGAGAGGTGGTGACCGGGGTGATCGGCCAGAGGATGCCCAGATTCTGCCTTTTTGGAAACACGGTCAACCTCACAAGTCGTACAGAAACTACTGGTGAAAAGGGAAAAATACATGTCTCAGAATATACCTACAGGTTAGTACAACTGCCTCCTCATTTCATATCAGGGGCCAATTGTCATCTGCTTTTTTATTTGTGTAAAGTCATGATAGGATTGTATCACTAGAGAAACGATGTGGTTCTGAAGGAGCTTTGCAACTTGGTATGTAAGTATTAAAAAAATGTAATCTGTTAAGAAAATATAATTATTAGACTTGGAAGGACAAGCTGGACCAATTACAACCGAAACCAGTCTGTTTTGGTCAGTCAATTTCATGTTTTTTGCTGACAACATGTTTTCATAGAGTGAAATCCCCCGGACCATAGAGCGCGAGTGATTTACGATGGTGTTGATGTTTTTCTCCAGGTGTTTGCAGTCTGCTGAGAACGCTGACCCTCAGTTTAATTTGGAGTATCGAGGCCCCATCACCATGAAAGGAAAGAAGGACCCGATGAAGGTGTGGTTTCTGTCCAGGAAGCCCACCGGCACAGAGTCCTCCGCAGATAGTTAGAGCTTAACAATCTAGATTCCACATCAAAACAACACAAGGTCATCTTACAGAAGCTTCAGTTTGGTTCTGTGAAGTCAAAAAGGTCTTAATAAATGGCACATGTTCAGGGCAGGAGTGAGATGGATCAAGTCAAACAGAAAACCTATCTATCCAAACAGATATTTTAAATATGATGAACCTGTACGGCTGCTTCCCCTGCTCGGTTCTGCTTGACCATGAGCTGTCATGTCCTCACTATATTTTTTTAGCATAGACAGACACAATAGTGAAGTGTTTCATGAATAGTAGCTGTTATTGATATTCAAGTTTGATACATTTTTAGATAAAATATTCTCACATTGTTATTGTATATAAAATCACTAAGGGATTTGATAAGAAAAACATTTTTCATCTACCCTAAACATTAGGTTGATAATTTTGTCATATACTGTACTTGTTCTGTGTTAAGAATTGAAAGTATTAACTCTATCAGACCAGTTAGCCAATGAGAGTAAAACAATATATAGCTCGATATCATGTTTGTGCCAAAACATTACTGTCATTTTTTGAGCAGTCCTTTATTCATTGGCTGTGAGAGTTTTACACTGAATTATGTGACACTGGCATCAAAACCATAAAAAGAAAACATTATTGAGATATTATAGCTGTTGTATTTTATAGAGATATATAGATATCACCACTTTCACCAGTTCTTATGCACAAAAAGTGACCATGAGTCATATATTATAGAAATGTATACATCACTGATAATTAAAGCCAACAATACAATACATTATTTAATTGTATTGATTGCACCTCTTTACTCTATTTTTGTCTAATTCTATAATATTGAGTAATATGTTCAGTTCTACTAAATGTTGAGATATTCTAAATGATCCTCATATTTATTGTTAACATTGTGTTATGTATTTATTTGACTGTTTTCAAAAAGGACTAACTAGGTAAATGTTGTTATAGGTAAAACTACTGTTTGTGCCTCTATAGGTTTAACTATGTGCTATACAGTATGTGTTGGATTCATTTCACAGGAGTAAATGTACCACATCTTTTTCAACCTATTTTTCCAAAGTCATTCTTATTATTCTTAAACTTTATGTAATGTCCTTGCAAGCAATCCTCTCCAACCA